TTGTTATACAAATTTTATGTACTCCCTTTAAGGGCCTGAATCTTAACAAGGGATGCTCCAATGATGTTTCTGTATATGAAAGATCCTATATTTTTTTCCATGAGGAATCACCTCCTCAAATGTTTTACACTCATTCAGTTACACTCAGTTACACCCTTTTCTACAGTGAAAACATCTTTATTCTTTTCCTTTTTGATATTGATATCTCTATTCGAATCGATGGATTTATTTTTCCCTTAGAAATTCTCTATTTATCCTTCAAAATTTTTAGTTTGAACTCCTACTTACTTTTTACATTTTCCCTTTGTCTGCTTATACAGATATATCATTCAATTTTTCAATTGTTACCCGTTTGATTATAGGCATGCATTCTACCTTGTTCAAAGTTAGAATTGCAAATCATATAATCGATAGAGTGTATAATGAGCGCTGGATGAATATTTACACGTATATTTTTCGTAGGGTCTAACTCCAGACGGTATAGCAGACCACCGAGGAACCATTAACGAAACAACCTTGAACGACATGAGTAACAGCGAGTTTTGGTCTTCATTTTCGAGTTCGGAAGAAGCCTTATTGAATTGTGCTGGGCTGATTTTGAATCTGCCGTTGATGCCTCACCACAGATGTATACGAGGCCTTAGCGAAAAAGACAGTTATCAGGACAACACAATTACATACAGGTGAGTGATTGAATTGGGTAGAATAGAAGAAAAACGAGCAGATAAAAAGAAAAAAGATAGATGGTGAAAGACGAAAGAAGATAGCAAGATAAAAATGATTTCATCACATTTGATGTCCGAAACAAAAATTGAAAACAAAAAAGATATCTAGGGTATAAAACTAGAACAAAATTTCGAACAAAATGAAAATTACTGAAGAACGTCCTGAAATAGCTGTAATACTACAAATACTAAGTACTATTGAATAAAAGTACCTGCTTCATTTTTTTTAAATTTCTTTGAATGTTTGAGATGATTTCATGTTTGGTTTTGTGTTTGAAAATTGAATGCAAAAAAGTCACGATGCAAAAATGAAAACAGAATGGGTAAAAAATAATAAAGATGAAATCAACCAGATCATAGATGAAAGATGGAAGGCTGAGTTATTGTAACAACATTATAATAAAAAGAAATTGATATGAAGGAGAAATCAGAGAAAAAAAATAAAAACATGACAAGAGAGAAAGCAATCAATTAAAAAAAGGCGGAATGGCAGTGAACTTATGAATTAGCCACTTCCGACCAGACTTTCTCTTATGATTAGGTGAATAATCCATGGAAATGAAAATGAAAAGAGAGAAAGAGAGAAAATGGAAGGTGGAAAATGGAGGGGAAGAGACCCAATAAAGGAAGAGAATNATTTTGTAAGTGATGTGAAGGGAGAAAAATGATACTGAATGAAACATTATATCCTCCTCAAAGTATGAAAAGGATATTAATAAGAGCAGGCCGATATAATTTTTGAATGAAACTTGGTACATACTCCTTTCAAGTTTTCAAAAAAAAAGAATACAGAATAGAATTTTCAAAAATACCCGCCTGCACGTTTGAGTTTTGAGCGGTTTGCGATTGCAATTGCATTGTTATAGCACCATATTGTATAGCACCATTGAATTTCTAAGTGTCCTCTACTTCATTTGATTTTGAATCGATTTAGTTTATTTACACTCTGTCTGGAATTGATGACAACAATTTTCCCAGGAAGATGTCTGATGGGAAGCCATGCTGAATAGCTTGGCAACCCGATTTCCACATTCTTTCATCACTCTGAAACAGCAACCTACAATAAATCTACCTTGAGAAATTCAAGAAACAGTGTGTGTGAACATGCCTAAGGACGTGGTTGTATAAAGAAAATTGTGTTGCGATTTTGTGAACTGTTCAGTGAGAATCTCATAATAAAAAATCTTATATAACATATATGAAAATATATCCGCTCCAAGAGAAACATGAATAGTTCCGGATTTCTCAAAAGTACGGTTAGCTGAAGTCAATTTTGTTTTGATTCCAAGTGTCCTTATGTGAATCATTGGTGGGAATATGAGAACTAATTTGTGATGAAATGATAGCTGTACCAGTAAGATTTACTGATTTACTGTAAGATTACAAGACCAACGGGTCTTGAACTCAATGAAACATTTCATAAATGCAATTGAGTTTGAGTATAATCGAGGAGAAATAAATTCTAATCATTTCCGCCCTTTCAATCAATTTAAAATATAAAAAAATCAATTTGTAACACCATAATTTACAAGACAGTATTTTTCTATCTGAATCTGTTGGCAAGCAAAAACTTGATTCACGCTGAAAGGCAAAAACTGCATGATATTCCGAAAGACCAATTTTTAAAAAGAAGCAGCAGTGGATAGGGAAATACCTTTTAAATAAGGCCTTATCGGCTTTCTCGAAATAAATTCGAAGATTGTACCCCTGCTAGGAAAGTTGAAGGTTTTGCAATGGTTTTTAGGCCAAAATTTTCCCCCACCCCTACAAATAAACTTGACTGCGTTATAGTACATTTTTAATGACTCAGTCTGTATGTACCTCTTATGATAATTTTAAGATGTCAGAAATGTGATATAGGACCAATCTGCCTTTTCAAGTGGTAGATGGTTCGAAGGGAACAAAATTTCGAAACTGGAGTCCGTATTTACCTGACTATTTTTTAAATTTCTCAGTTTTATTGAGTGTGATCGATAATACACTAATAATTTTTTTTTTAATTGTTGTTGATTGGTTACCATCAAGGTGAGTCGATTGGGTCCTTTCGGAAAGATAACTATTCAAAAGTGACACTGCATTATAGGTGGCACCAAAGCACTTAAGTTCCATGCACAATACATACAATTTCCTTAGAAACTTTATTTTTCAAGAAAATACCAAATTATACTTTTTGACATCTATTGATCTTTTTTGATAATCAACAACAACAACTTTTTTCATAAAAATATCTCATTCATAGCTAACTAAATGGAACAGAAAAATATATACTGAATGATAAACAAATAAACAAAATATATAATCTGTAACATTCTTCCCTCTTAAGAATTTTCACCAAATTCAACATCCACCCTACAGATTTTGGTTACAGGACGTTTGAAGACCCCTGTAAATATTTTCACCTCGACTACTCTCGTAACATTGTCCTTTCCTGGAAATACTGCCGTGATTCTACCTAGTGGCCAAGTATTTCTCGGAAGGTGACCATCTGCAATAACGACTACACCCCCAACCACAACAGGTTCATCATCCTTGATCCATTTTGCACGCTTCGATAAAGTCGGTATATATTCCTTGATCCATCTTGACCAAAATATTTCTGCCAGCCTTTGAGACTTCTTCCACTGCTTTCTTAGGTTTTGTTCTTCGAATTTTGTTGGAAATGGATTTTCTGAGGGTGAACTAATCAGAAGAGGATCACTTATCACAAGTCTTCGCCATTTGGAAAACCGGTGTACTTCTGGCAGGTAGTCAGAAGATGGAACAATGAAACCAACAAAATGTTCGGCAGATTTTCTCTCATTTTCATCGTCGAGATGATAATTTGAAAAATCGAAGTCTGCTGGTGAATCATTCAAGTTCCACAGAAAATCAGGACCTCGAAACCAACAACCATTATATTCGATGAATTTATTCTTGTTGCTTCATCAGCAACGTTTAATTTGCCAGGGACATATTTCCATTGAGCTGCAACTGTTAAATCTTGTATTTCACCGATTCAATGTGCGACAAATTGTTTATAATTCCGTCCATCACCTTTGATCCAACACAGAACTGTTTTGGAATCTGTCCACAAAAAAGAACTATCGACAGGAAAATCAATTTCTTTCAATATCGTGCATAACAATCGGCTACCCATCACTGCACATTATAACTCTAGCCTTAGAATTGAAATAGGTTTCAGGGGACTTACTCTGGCCTTTGCTGAAACGAAAGATACCTCAATGTTCGTTTCGAAAATTATTCTCAGGTAGGCTACCACCGTAAATGCTTCCTCGCTCAAATCACAGAATATGTGGATTTCTGTTGCATTAGCAGTAGAAAGAGAGAGAGAGAGAGAGTAGCATCGGGGAATATTGAGTGAACAGATGGGTTCTAAACCTTTCAACCATTCTAACTATCTATGGAAGATTGTTGTTGGAATATTATCGTCCCATCCGATGCCGCTTCGCCAAATTGCCTGTAGAATGATTTTTCCCTTGATAGACAAGAATGTGAGAAAGCCTAAGGGATCAAAAATCGACATAACCAACTGCAAAACTTGGCGTTTTGTAGGAATCACCGTACCGTCAGTTATTTCTTTGGGAACAAACCAACGTTTGTTTGAAGGTGATTGACAATGTTTCGTGATGAATTTCACTAGTTCAATGTTTTGGGATATGTGAGTGTGTAGTTCGACTAGTGCGTTCTGAGTGGAGTGTTCAGCCCTGAAACCATGCTGGTGGGAAGGAATAATTCTGTGAAGTATGAGGAAGTCGCTCAGACGGTTAGTCATTAGTCGTTCCAGCAGTTTGCCCAGGCAACTAAGCAGGCTGATAGGTCTGTATGAATCGGGATTAGTGGGATCCTTATGGGGTTTGGGAATTAAGATAGTGTTAGCCTGTTTCCATGCGATAGGGAAGTAGGCGTGTACAAGACAAGCATCGAGGATGTGTTTGAGGAAGGGAATTGCGGAATCGGGAAGGTTTTTCAGGACTCGGCGGTTAACCGAGTCTGGGCCAGGAGCGGTAATTTTACAGCTGTGGATAGTATTAAGGATGTCTTCCTCACTGAATGGGAATCTTAGGTGGCAGTTAGGATCGAGGGGGATTTGACCTGGGTGCCTACCCAGCCGCACGGACAACTGCTGGTGTTTTCGAGATTTTCACGGAAAACTTTTGCTTTGTCGGAAGGGTTGGAGATGATGTTTCCGTCAATCGATAGATGACTGTCGGTTTTCCTTTTTTGTCCAGTGAGGACTTTGAATTTGTTGCAGAAGGCCGTTCCATCTCGGTAGTCAAGTTTTTTAGTCTCCTCCATCCACCTTTTCTGGGTGAATTGGTTGATGAGGAGACGAATTCGAGCGTTGAGACGGTTCCACTCGGTTTTTAGGATTGGATCTCTAGTTCGGACGAAAGTTCTGTAGAGTTTACGCTTGCTTTTGATGAGAGTTATGAGATAAGGAGGAAGTGGGGATTGATCGATTCGCCTGGTAGTGGTCGGAGTGGATAAGTCGTCAGATTCAGAAATAAGTTTTTAAATAGAGTCGATTTGAGCGTCAATTTGTCGGGAATGGTTAAGTGGAGAATTGTCAAGAGAAGAGAGTTTTTGAATGATGAGGGAGTGGAAGCGTTTGACGTCTGTGAATTCATTATTTTTATAAGTGATGGTTTCAGGAATTGAGGAAATAGGGAAGTTTAGGAAAGTTTTGACGATGACGGGGAGGTGATCCGACATAATAGTGTCACCGATATAGGCAAGATCATCGACCACCTCTATCAGACTCTCAGAGCATAAGATGTGGTCAATGATGGACGCCCCACGGTGGCTCAAAAACGTCGGGTCAGGACAGGGAATTCTATAAATATTGTGTTCTAGTAGAAGGTTGGCTAGGAGGCGGCCGTTGGCATTGGAGGTAGAATCTCCGAATTGTGTATGTCTAGAGTTGAAATCTCCTATTAGAAATGCTTTTGGGAGAGAGG